TGTATGAGTTCTAGCAGTTTTGGGGTGGAGTCTTTTAGGTTTTCCACATAAAGTATCATATCATCTGTAAAAAGTGAGAGTTTAATAAATAAAATTTAAAACAAGGTCTTAACTATTTGTCTTACTAAATTTTGGACAAGTACAGAATGGTTGCAATTTTTTTAAAGATTTTATTTATTTATTTGACAGAGAGAGAGCACAAGCAGGGGGAGCAGCAGGCAGAGGGAGAAGCAGGCTCCCCACTGAGCAGGGAGCCAGATGAGGGACTTGATCCCAGGATCCTGGGATCATGACCTGAGCCGAAGGCAGATACTTAATCGACTGAGCCACCCAGAATGGTTGCAATTAAGAAAAAAGCCAAAATTTGCTTTCCAAATTATCTCTTAAACAGTAAGGCACTATTAAATAAGAAAGGAAATACTTAATCCTGGTAATTATAGCAAAACTATGCCCATATTTTTAGTGTTGTATTTGTTATTAATAGGATGAGCTGTTCCATACTCTGGCATCTTATAAACTTATCGCACCAAGATATAGATGGCAGAGAAGCCGATGGGGACGAACATGTCCTGTGACTCTCAAAGAAGGTAACATTTTTCCAGGATTACCAGATTTTTCTGTGAGGTAAGTAAGATTTTCAAAACTTAATTTGAAAACCTGTCCACGCCTCTTTTCAGTTGTTTATGATTATGGCATATTTTAAGTTTTCTAGGTAAAATATACTGTCTTTCATCAGAAGAAGCATTAAAAACATTTTTATTGAACCCACGTCCCTATCTTCTTCCACCTATGCCGGCACCACCATTTAAAGTGTTCATATTTGGGCCTCAATCTTCAGGGAAAACAACACTTTGCAATTTGCTTGCAGAAAATTACAAAGGAAAGGTAACTACTTACCCAGCTAGCTAGCTACCTGTCTATACTTGATTATAATTTGTAGGACTTTGGAATTCACAGAATTTCTCCGTTTTCTTAATTTTACACTGTCAGTTGGGTAATTGTCCCACCAGGCTCGGAGTAGGGAAGGCCACCTTCTGGCTGCTTGTTGTGGCTCCCGAAACCACAACCTCTCCCTACTTCCCAACAGCCCCCAGACTTCACTGGTACATCACACAGACTGTGCCACCAATGACCTGCTTTGGTTTCACTCGTCTCCTATTTCCTGGGTCCCAGTTCTCCCAAGTCTCTGTCCCTCTCCCCACACAGTCACTCCTGCCATTATTCTTAGTATCTGCAAAGATCCCCCTCTTTGGTGACACAAACCCTGGCTTGCCAATTCCTTGGCCTCTCTCCTCATTGATCTTGTTCTCCACCCTGAGTAAAGGGAAGAGAAATTATTTTTAGTTTAGACCGGAATGATAGCAGTAGAGGTGGTGAGAAGCAGGCAGATTGGGGATATGATTGGGAGACAGATCCCAAGGATTTCGTGAGGGATTGGAATGGAGAGTATTTCTGCGAAGGCCAGAGTGCTGGAGCAGAGAGCAAAAAGGGGAAGGCCTAAGATGACGGGGGCAGAAGGCCTAATCAAAGCAATGCAGCCCTGGGAAGGGGTGTGAACTGATTCCAAGTGCTATTCCTTTGAACG